AGGCGGGGTATTATTTCCTAGGACTTCCGTAACAAAGTGCCACTAACTAAGTGGCTTAAAACCACAGAAACTTATTGTTGGCAGGGTCATTTTCCCTCTGAAACCTGTAAGGGGGAATCCTTCTTTGTCTCTTCTAGCTTCTGGCGTTTGCTAGCAATTCTTGGCATTCCTTGGTTTGTGGATGCATCGCTCCAAATCTATTTCCAAGTAAGGTCCCATTCTGAGGTTCTGGAAGTTAGAACTTTAACATATCTTTTTGAGGGATACAATTCAATTCATAACAGGTGATAACAATAAGGACAAAGAGAAATGGGTGTTTAAACATATATTTTGGAAGATACTCCCGATAGGAGTTGCTTATGGATTAGATATAGAGGATGAGAAAAAGAGAATTCAAGGATGGAGCTCATATTCTGCCTTGAGCAGCTAGGTAAACAGTAGAGCCAAATCTATTAACATGGAGACATGAGAGTGGGACCATTTTTCTTGTGGGATAAATTTCCAGAAGTGGAATTGTGAAGCCCCTATTTCCTTAAGTATCCTCATGCTTCTATTCTTTCAGATATGCTATAGCATTATTAGTATTGTCTCAGTATCATTCTGTCAGATCCCCCTGATTTAAACAATCAGTGTAGTAAAATAATAAAGCACAATTCACTTAGATATACAAACCAGAAAAGGAACAAGGAACACATACTGTGGGAGAAATTTATTTATTTATTTGTTTGTTTGTTTTTAAATTTTTTTTGACGGGGGGCACAGTTCGCACTCTGTAGCCCAGGCTGGAGTGCAGTGGCGCAATCATAGCTCACTGCAACTTTGAACTCCTGGGCTCAAGCGATCCTCCTGCTTCAGCCTCCGGAGTTGCTGGAACTATAGGCGCACACCACCATGCCTGGCTAATTTTTTTAATTTTTTGTAGAGATGGGATCTCACTGTGTTGCTCAGGCTAGTCTTGAACTCCTGGCCTCAAGTGGCCCTCCAGCCTCGGCCTCCCAAAAAGCTGGGATTACAGGCATGAACAGCCAAAATTCTTAAGTCAAAGTGAGACAGACAGTAAGAGTTGGCAAAATCCTATGATGTCCCAAAAGTATTTACTTCTATATGGAAATTCTATTTAAGTTTAATAACATGCTATAAAATTGACTACACTTTCCCCTGCTGAAAGAAAATCTGACCTTAGATAAAAATGTCTAAGTTCCCTGGTAACATCATGAAGTTAAGGATGTCAGTTATATTACTAAGTAACATTACTTATGATAAAAAATGACCACTTGATTCATAAATTAATCTGGACTGGAAGGAACTGCAGAAGAATGATAAATACCTGATGGGGACACTGCACTTGGGAATGCCCTGAGTTTCCTGTAATTGATATATCCCTTATGTGACCCTAGAAGCCACGGTTACAAGAAATAATAGCACCAGTAAAGCAGCAGGGCTTCTAAGCCAAGGTAGACCATACATCCACTGATAGAGATCTCACACCTGAGCTATATCTCCCAAAGAGAAGATAGCAATAAACCCTTCATGTTTTCCTGTCGTGGAAGGTGCACTGTCTACACATGCATTCTGTATTAGGACTCTTGTTTGCAGGTGACAAAAAGATCATGTTTGTCTGGGGAATATTTTGTTTTTGTTGGCTTGCCTAACAAAAAAAGGCAGGTGTATAGTTGAAATGACAAAAATGTGAGACCCTAATTCTCTCTCCATCTCTGACCACTACTTTTTTCTCTTTGAATACTTTATTCTCTCCTATTGCAGACCGATTTTCTTCAGGAAGTGGAGAACATTGCCGTTTGCCATTTTTGGCTCATACCCTTTTCTTTTTCTTTTTCTTTCTTTTATATTTCAGTAAAATATACATGAAATTTGCCATTTTAACCATTTTTAAATGTACAGTTCAGTGGCATGAAATATATTTACATTGCTGAGCAATTATCCCTACCATCTATCTCCAGAAGTTTTTCACCATCCCAAACTGAAACTTTGTACCCATTAAATACTAATTCCCCATGCTTCCGTCCCCCAGCCCCTGGTACCCACTGTTCTACTTTCTGTCTCTATGGATTTGACTATTCTTGTTACCTCATATAAGTGGAATCATACAGTATTTGTCCTTTTGTGTGTCTAGCTTATTTCACTACACCCTTACCTTTTAATCAGAGAGGAAAGAACCTTCTCTGCACATGCTTCCATCCCTTAGCTCCATTTTGAAAAATTCTGAGAGAAAACTTTAATGGGCATGGCTTGAGTAACATGCTTACTTTCAGACAGAGAAGATGATGGGTGTATGATTTGCTCAGTTGGGTTACATGGCCATCTTAGTGTCTTCTGCAATTTTCTGTGTAAACATACCTTCTCACAGAGTCCTTCCCTGTCCTCTGTTTCTGAGATAGCACCCCACATCACTCTAGTCTCTTACTCTGCTTTATTTTTTTCCAGAATACTCATCACTGTCTATTATTAAATATATTTATTTGCTTATTGCTTCCCCAACCACTAGAATATAAGATTTATAACACCAGGGACTTTCTCTGTTTTGTTCATCTCTGTGTTTCTAGTGCCTAGAAGAGTGACTGGGACATAATAGGAACTCAGTAACTACTTTTAATTAATTAATCAGAAATTGGGCTGGAGATACAGATTTAGTATTCATTGGTAAAAGTGATTAAAAGAAATTAATTATTCTTTCTTCTGCCTCCCTAGTGAAGATAAATAATTAGAAATCAAAAGGAACTGAACTTTCAGTATATATGAACACAGTGATTAAACATGAAAGTTATGCACAAATACCAAGAGAATTATACTTCCTAAAGATGGATAATTGTGGAAAATGTAACCTTGCATGATGGATGAAATTGCAGTAGATTAAGGCCTTTCTGAAGTTGCTTTTTATTGCTGGACATTCACATTTAAACTGTAACTATGAATATATAAATGTATCAGGTGTGTGCATGTTGTATGTATATACACATACATACCTATTAACATTGGAAGCTGGCAAAGTAGATGCGAATCTTAAGCCATAATGGTCAGTACTGTTCTTTCTAACTTGTCCTTAACTATAGCCAAGCAAGACAAAATACTCTGGAGCACAACTTCACATTGTCATGCTGCTCTGCATGAGAATCACTCAGATCTTGTTCACTGTGGCTGCCTCAGCTCTCTTCCCCTACCTGTCCTTAATTTCAAGGGAAGGACGACAAGTCAAAGAATAGCAAGGCAGGGGCTGTATCTAAAAAGACAAGAAAAATGTGGGCAAAATGATCTCTTGTGCTTCTTGACTTTTTGGTGCTTGCTTTCTTTTACTTTCCTTAGAGTATATATTAGCCTTTTGATGCTTATTGGACATACTGTTGCACCTCAGCCAAATGTAGCCCCGCCCCCAAAATGACTTATTTCTTATCTCCTCTCACCCGTCCAGACACACCTCACCTCCAAGTCCAATCAGAACTTTCATACCCTAGCAGGAAAACAAACTACATTGCCTCAAGCTCATCTCCCTGCCATGAATTTTTCTTACTGCCTATCTGAACCAGAAAATAAGTTCCTTGTGGCAACTTCTTGCTTTTCTTCCTAGACGATTAAATAGGGAGACCCATGACCAAAAAGTTCTGGAGCCAACCCCCACCCCTAAATTCAACTTTTAGGAAGTAGGAAAGGCAGATTTGGGGTACCAAGAATAGTTTGGCTAATCATAATATCACCCTCTCCAAGTTATTCATAATAATAGTTTGACATTTATTCTTTTTTTTTTGAGACAGAGTCTCACTCTTTTGCCCGGGCTAGAGTGAGTGCTGTGGCGTCAGCCTAGCTCACAGCAACCTCAAACTCCTGGGCTCAAGCAATCCTCCTGCCTCAGCCTCCCAAGTAGCTGGGACCACAGGCACGTGCCACCATGCCCGGCTAATTTTTTCTACATATATTTTTAGCTGTCCAATTAATTTCTTTCCATTTTTTGGTAGAGACGGGGTCTCGCTCTTGCTCAGGCTGGTCTCGAACTCCTGAGCTCAAACAATCCGCCCGCCTCGGCCTCCCAGGGTGCTAGGATTACAGGCGTGAGCCACCGCGCCCGGCCAACATTTATTCTTAATTACCAGGGGCATAATAATGGTCATGCATATTACAAAGTGCCTATCAAATTAATTACTAAGTTCTACTTTTCACCTATGTCCTTTTTCTGATTATTTGTTACTCACGTAGTATGATCAGCTGCTCTCAATTTAAGAGGTAGCATTGCTAAAAAAGTACTCAACTCTGCTATAATTAGTATATATAGTTACAATATCTTGGGTTTTAAAAGAAAAAATTAACTGAAATGTTGCAGTTTCCTGAGTAATCTATGGGAAGCCTCGGCTTTCTTAGCAACTTCTGGGAATCACATTTCTTTATGATATTTGATTTGGTTAGGAAACCTAATGTTATTAGCCTGGAATTTGTGAGTCTTTGAAAGGGGATGAAAAAGCTGCCCAGTCTTTCTATGAATCACAGACTTGCTAGATGGATTTGGAGACAAACTTAGGAAAAACCCGTTCAATACTGACCAAAACAAATGATATACAGTGTCATCACAGTACTAATAACCATTATGGCTTAAGACTCACATCTACTTTGCCAGCTTCCAATGTTAATAGGTATATATGTGTATATACATACAACATGTACACACCTGATACATTTATGTACTCATTTATATATTTTCTGCTACTAATTGGGTAACCGAACTGCCACATTTTAAGGGATTCCCTTTGGTTTATTATCTGCAAATACCTGGTTATCCTCTACTGCAGCTGCTACAATGTACAGGCTATCATTCTTCCATTCTTCAAGATGGTTGATCAAAAGTTACTGCGAGGCTCAAAAAACTGATTTCTTCTTTTCCTGTGTCTGATAAACCTATGGAACTTTGGTATATCAGATATATTTGCTGTGGTTTATGTACTTTCATACTTTTGCAATTACTTAGACTTCTAAAATGTATTTTTTTTCTTTTATAGGACAATGAAGGTCAAACAGCTCTACATTATGGTAAGATGTTTCTAAATTATTAAATATAATGTTTGAACATTTTGTCTGTTAGCTTATCTCAACTTTGTCCATCCCTATATAGTGCTTAGAAAAGTACCCAGCAGCTAGCAGAGACACAATAACTTTTTGTTTACAAAATAAGATTAATAACCTAGAAAGTTAGAGATATATTAAAATTCTTATGGTCACATTCATAGTAAATTAAACATTTGTATTCTATCAGCAGAAATGGAACCTCCTCCAACCCCCTTTATTTCATTCTTGGTACTGTCAGTGACAAGTGAGAGGCTAATCATTGTCACTGTAGAATCTAACATCTCTCCTACAAAAAATACTTTCTTGACATAATTGAAGTAAAGAAAATAAACCTTATTTTTAAACTCATTTCCCCCACTAACTTGTTAGCTTAGTTAAGTAATCTTTACTTAAGTAATCTGTAAAATGTGGAAAAATAATTCACAAAATGGAAATAATAAGAAGGCTCTTAGAGAGCTACTTGGTAAATTCAGTGAGAGAAAAGATATTAAAGTATTTTATAAACTGCAAAGTACTAGTAAATAAAATTAAAATATTCTGTTTGAGTGTGAATATGGTTGAATAAAAGACAGCCATCAATATTTAAACCAGATTATGGATCAACCACATTCAAACCTTTCAGGAGGGAATGCATTAGGCTGTTTTGCCAGTTTGGGCAGTCCTGGACTGCCGTTAGTAACAAGTGGCTCAGATGGCCCTGGACACTTTTTTCTACTGCTCAGCATTTTCTTAGATATCAGAAACCTTGCTGGGTTATCTAGGAGTCTAAACTACTGGACTAGATATTATGCTATCTGTATATATATTAGCCTAATAGTGAAGATTGAAATGTCTGTCACCAAATGCCTGCCCCAACTCACTTATGAGTTTAGCTAGTATGACCTAAGTACCAAAACCAGCAGGAAAAAGGAAATCGTGAACTTTTGAAAATAGATGCAAAATTCCTAAATAAAATGTAAGCAAATAAAATCTGTCAATATTTTTAAAAGAAAGATGTGTCATGACCAAGTTGGGTTTACCCTAGGAATTCAAGGATGATTTAACATTACTACATTTATTAATGTAATTTTCTACATTAGCAAATTAGGTGAAAAACCATGATTGAATCAAATGCAGAAAAAGCATTTGAGAACATTCAACATTCATTTTAAGAAACAATATAGAAGAGTGTTTAAGATTTTGTGCTCTTAAGCCAGACTTTTTATTCTAGAATTCTAGTTCTACTACTAGCCTTAGACAAATTATTTATGCATTATATCTCAGTTTACTCATGATAAAATAGGAATACCCTCAGAGATTTGTTATGAGAATATGAGTTAATCCATGTAAAGTGCTTAAAACAATGTCAGACACCTAGTATGTACTCAATAAATATTAGATAATTTTTTAATGATAAAAGCTCCTAAACTAGGAATGGAAGGAAACTTCTATGATCTGATTGAATTGTATGTTGAAAACCCAGAGCAGACATCATTATTAAAGATGGAAGATTTGAAGCATTTCCTTAAAAATCAGAAACAAGAAAAGGATGTGTACCATAATATTTCTCTTTAATATTGCATTGGAATTCTAGACTACACACACACAAAAAAAACCAACAACAAAAGAAATAAAAGTTGCATGAGATGGATAAAAAGAAGCAAAACCATCATCATTCTCAAACAATACAATTAGCTACGTAGAAATCCAAAAGGCTCTATAGTCACATTGTTAAATCTAATAATGCAATTTAGCAAGGATGCTGAATGCATCAATTTTTAAAACTTCATTCTAAACATTAGTATAAAAAAGATAGAAAATTTAAAAATTTTTTTAAATATTTACAATAGCAACTAAATCCTAAGACTCAGCCTAACAAAAGATATGTAAATTTTTCATAGAAAAAAATATTATTTTTTAAAAGACATTTATTAAAGACATAAATAGAAGGACATAAATAATAGTCCATGTTCCTAAATGGGAAGACTCGATGCTATAAGGATCATTTCTTCCGAAGCCAAACTACAAATTCAGACAATTTTTATAAGAATCCCAGCAGGTATTTTGTGGAATTTAACAAGCTTGTCCTAAAATTCATGTGGAAGAAAAAAGAGCCAAGAATACCTAAGGCAATTTGAAGAAAAACAAGAGAGACTTATTCTTCCAAATATTAAGATGTTATTTTAAAGCTATAATAATGAAGGCAGAGATGGATTTCCAGCATGACAGTGTAAGAAGCTACACTGACCTGCTTCTCTGTGAAACTGGTGAAAAATATTTTTGAAAATACAGACATTTGGGCTAGGCGCAGTGGCTCATGCCTGTAATCCCAGCACTTTGGGAGCCCAAGGCAGGAGGATTGCTTGAGACCAGGAGTTTGAGACCAGCCTGGGCAATATAGTGAGACCCCCATCTCTATCAAATTTTTTTAAAAATTAGCCGGGCATGGTGGCATGCACCTGTAGTCCCAGCTATTTGGGAGGCTGAGGCAGGAGTATTGCTTGAGTCCAGAAGTTTGAGGCTACAGTAAGCTCTGATCATGCCACTACACTCCAGCCTGGGCAACAGAGAAATACCCTGTCTCTAACAAAGCAAAAATACAGACATTTAAACCTTCTGGAAATGGTACTAAGGACAAACAGCAAATGAAGAAATATCTATTCAAGAAAATCTATAAAAATTTGGTAAGAAGGCAAGAGTTTGTGATATTTGAACCAAGATCACTCCCTCCTTTCCCCCTCCCAGCTCAGTGCTGTGGAGACACCTCTCTAGAATGCTTGTAGTGAAAAACACAGGGTTCCCTCTCCTCCCACCTCCTAGCCAGAGGGCTTCCTTCCCAGGAGGAACAGGACAAACATTTCTCATCCTGCCTCCAGCTGTCTTTGGCTGAGGCTGTCCTGGCCAAATGCAGTCAAGAGATGAGGGCTCCCTTATTCTGCCCAACTACCTCTCATGAAACAAAGGCTCTACCTTGGTTGTAGTGCACCGAGAATACTGGGGCATGCCTCTAAAAGAACCATTAGAAATGTGCATGTACAATACAGTATACAGGTAATCTGTAGGCTCCTGTCTATAAACAGCCCTCTATATAGTAGTTATTGTTTTCTCCATTTTATAAATGAGGAAATCAGAACTCAAAGAGCTTAATAAATGTGCCTAAGAGAACCAGAAATTCAAGCCCATGCCTCTAAGTTAACTAGGAAAGGTAAGAAAAACGAATGTTTTCCCAGGCCTCCTTCCGCAGCATTCATACCGCTTATTCCTCAAACGTGTTTTCGATGTTTCTGTCATGACGCCTCTCATATTACTAAGAGCCGTCTGTTCTAAACCCTAATTTTCAACCCAGAAAAACCTTTTCTCAGCTACCCCACAGCTGTGATGGCAATCTGGGATAATCGGGCATGAGTCAAACAACCACAGAGAGTCAGGAAAGAGGAAGAATAAGCTTTTCACAGTGATTGTAAGGACTTCACAAAATTCAGGGCTACCCCTTTTTCCTGAAAACGCCAGCTTTCTTTTACTCTAAAATATTTGGCGTAAGGTCTAGAGTTCACTGCTCTGCTTACAAAGACAATCCCTGCCAGTGTATCCACGTGCTCTGCTGAATCAGCTCTTATTTCCATCCCCTCATTCTTTCTTTCATCTCTCATTCACATGTTTTTCATTGCCTTCTCTGGAGCATGGGCTGTGTCTTCCTTTTACTTCTCCCTTCCAGAAACTGTAGCAACAACTAAACCAGACTGAATGTGCCCTTGAGAATTTAGATGGTCACTCTGTCACCCCTGGTTAACCATTAGGGGTGAATGCCTTTATGGATGTGGGAATGTGTCCGTTTAAGTTTGATATATTTAAAATGCATTTATAGACGGTAACAGGGTAGGAATTTTCAAAAGGCCTTTCTGACTGGCTTCAGAAGAAGCCCTGTTTTCTTTATGTACCAATACAGAAAAATCTCTGAGATACATTGTTGAAAGAAAAGATTAAAGTGTAGAACACTGTATGTAGTGTGCTATCTATACATGTTTGCTGGTAGTAAATGCATAAGATAGCTCCAGAAAGATATATAAAAAGCTAATAATGTTGGTTTCTGAGGAGAAGAGGAGCTGTGGGGCTAAAATACAAGAATAAGATAAAAACTTTTCGGTAAACCCTGTTATAACTTCTGTATTTGGGAACATATGCATATATTACCTGTTCAAAATTAAATTATTTTAAATCTGGATATCATGAGCTCCATTAGTACTATGAATATGATTTATCTTCTTAATTATATTTCATTCATTCAACAAATATTTATTAAGTACCTACTACTTGCTGGGTAAAATATACCATTCTTTATAAGATAAGAGATGTCCTCAGATTCCTTCACTTCCCACTCCATTAAAGAAGGACCCAATAACCATAGAAGTGTGTGAGCAAACATTATATCTAGGAAAACTCTGGGTTGGGTTTCAGTGCCAACACTGCCTGGAAATGAGCCTCTTAAACCAGAAGTGACAAGGAATTGATACTGAGATCCTGCGCATGAGCCAGGACCTTCAAAAGGCTATACCCTCGATTTTAAAAAACAACAACAATAAAAGATTAGATTAGAAAAACTTGGCCCTCCAATATAAGGAAGACAAAAAAGCTCATCTGCCTTAGACCAGTATCTGAATGGGAACAAAAGCCCCATCTCACACCAGTGTGGGGTTCAAATTTATACTCTGATTGTTTCAGGAATCTTAAAGTCACAAAATCAACATAATAAATATACTTGGGCTGGTTTACCTGCTGAGGGACCTGGCAGAAGTCAATGCTAAACCTTTCTTCAGGGATACATCTTCAACCTAGAAAGCACAGAATTCCTTCAGAATGAAGCCTACTGAGAATAATCTCACAAGCCAAAATTACAAAATACACTTGAGTGTATGTCAGCAGACATAGTAAACCACAGTATTGGACTTTGAGGAACTTGAGTAAAACTAATGGATAAAATTGATCAG